TCGATCGGGAGCTCGGTGAGAACGAAGCTATAATCGTGGAGTTACAGGCACAAATACGGGGAGCTTGTATGCGAATGCACTTAGGAAGAACAATGCAAGGACTTTGGGATACCGAAGACTGGCTTGTTGAGCTTCAATCGATGATTCGTGGGGACTTTACGCGACAAATCGTGGAGTATCGTTTGAATATGAAACGGTTCGCAGTGAACCTGCAAAGCCATGCACGTGGGTTTTTAGTACGAAAGAACCAATTGAGTCAAGAGAAATTCTGGAAGAGCCGTGAAGGAGATGTACAGAAGATTCAAAGCTTATTCAGGGCCAAAAAGGTTGGACAACAAGTGCGAGGAGAGGTATGCGTGATGCGAACCGCTTTGCAGCAGTCAGAATTTGTTGTCAAAGATTTTCAGTCAAGCATCCGCGGATTTCTTGCTCGGAAAGTTTTGGTGGCTCAGGAGAAGGAAGCCAAATCTGTTAATGTGTCAACTCCGGTGCTGAATCTGCAAGCTGCGGTCAGGGGTATGCTCGTGAGAAAGAAAATGATGGAGCAAGAAGAAGACATGTCAACCCTTACTGTGTCAACCCCAGTGTTAGATCTGCAATCTGCAGTGAGAGGCATGATTGTGAGACAGAGGATTTTGGCACAACAAGCAGCGCTCAACTCTCTCACTGTATCGACATCAGTTTCAGATTTGCAATCTGCAGTGAGGGGCATGATTGTGAGACAGAATATTTTGGCACAACAAGCAGAGATGAACTCTCTCACTGTATCGGCCTCAGTTTCAGATCTCCAAGCAGCAATGAGGGGAATGCTTGTGAGAAACGCCATGACAGCTCAAGAGAAAGAAACATCATCCAAAGCTGTTTCGACTCCAGTATTAAATTTGCAGGCTGCAATGAGAGGAATGATTCTCAGAAAAAATATTGCAGATGACCAAGAAGATCTTTATCGCGAAGAACCTTCAATTACAGCCATTCAAGGGTTTGCGAGGGCCTTACTAACAAGAAATCATATCTCTCGACAGCAGGAAGCATTGCATGCATGTACACCTGTTTGGGAAAAGCTTCAAGCAATTACCAGGGCGGGTGCTCTGAGACTTGAAGTATTTGATACACAACAAGCTTTGAAGAGTCATTCTGAAAGCATATCGAATCTTCAAGCCTTTCTTCGTGCTGGAGCAGTTCGCCGCGATGTCACAGAGACTTTGTCAGGTCTAGAAGAAGACGAATCATCAATAGTAGAGCTTCAGAGCTTAATTCGTGCTATGCTTGTTCGACGCTCAATCGAGGATGATTATGACATTCTTGTCACAGAGTACTCGACAATCACGGACCTGCAATCTATGATTAGAGCTGGTATGGTCAGACAGAAAACGGAAATGATCTTGGATGATCTTCAGGCGAATGAAGAAGAAATCATACAACTCCAGGCCTTGTCACGTGCTGTACTCCTTCGTAACGATATCGAAGGGGTATTGGGAGAATTAGAATCCGAAGAAGATTTCATTGTTGCAATTCAATCGGCAGCTAAAGCTTCGTTAGTCCGAGCCGCATATGTAGAGAAGCAGCGTTTCTTCAAGGAGAATATGGAAAAGGTTGTGAAGATCCAAAGTTTCGTTCGTGGGCGTTTACAGGGTGAGGCTTACAAGAGCTTGACCACTGGAAAGAATCCCCCTGTCAATACCGTCAAGAACTTCGTTCATCTTCTCAATGATAGTGATTTCGATTTCAACGAGGAAATTGAGTTCGAGCGTATGCGAAAGACCGTTGTACAGCAAGTTCGTCAAAACGAATTGGCAGAGCAATATATCGATCAATTGGACATCAAGATTGCCCTTTTGGTGAAGAATAAGATTACACTGGATGAAGTCGTCAAGCATCAGCGAAATTTTGGCGGACACTCAGGAAACATTCTCGTAAACAGCTCCATGGCTTCAGGGAATCAATTTGATCTGAAAGCTCTTAACAAGAATTCGAGGAAGAAGCTTGACTTGTACCAACAACTCTTTTTCAACTTGCAAACTCAATCTCAGTACCTTGCCCGGTTGTTCCAAATAATTCGTGAACAAGGTACTGCCGAGAAAGACTGCAAACGTATCGAAACCTTAATGATGGGTCTGTTTGGTTATGCACAAAAGCGCCGTGAGGAGTACTACTTGCTCAAATTAATTGCTCGCTCTGCTAGAGTAGAAATCGAGCACTTCGCCTCGACGCAAGATCTACTTCGCGGCAACTTCTTTTGGACGAAACTTCTCGCTAATTACACCCGTTCTCCTCGTGATCGGAAATTCCTTCGTGACCTGTTGGGTCCCCTCATCACGGAAAACATTATCGAAGATCCCGCACTCGACCTTGAGAGTGATCCAATGCAAATTTATCGCTCAGCTATCAATAACGAAGAGCTTCGAACAGGTAGACCAAGTCAAAGAGCTTTGGAGATTCCTCGAGATCAAGCAATCAAGGATCCAGAAACTCGAGACATGTTTATTGATCATTTAAGGGATTTGAGAGAGATTTCAGATCTTTTCATGCTTGCTTTAGAAAGCCTTTTGCATAGAATGCCTTACGGTGTTCGCTTTATCTGCCAGCAAATCTTTGAGGGGCTTTGCCAGCAATTCCCACGAGAACCACAACTAAATCTTCTACAAGTTGTTGGTAATTGGTTCTTCAAGTTCTACTTGTTCCCAGCTTTGACCACTCCTGAGTCTATGGGTGTAGTGGAAAGGCAGCTCACCCCACTGCAAAAGCGTAACTTAGGCGAGGTTGCCAAAGTCCTTGGCCAGATCTCATCCGGAAGGTTGTTCGGTGGCGAGAATATGTTCTTGCAGCCGTTGAACGCCTATGTCACTGATGCCATTACCAGAATCACGGAAATCTTCTCCAATATAATCTCGGTGCCGGATGCGGAAAGCACCTTCGATATTGACGAGTTTAATGATCTGTATGCTCGTACGAAACCTACACTTTATATCAAGATGGCCGATATTTTCGCAATTCACAACCTCATTTGCGATGATCTGCCACAAATCTGTCCAAACCGCGATGATGTTCTTCGGGAAATTATTCAAGAACTCGGCAGTGCCAAGAACAATGAGTCCGAGATGTTAGGTGGCTCCTCTGGCGAAATTCAAATGACTTTGAGTCCTAAGCTTCACGACATGGACGATCCGGAAGCGGAAGTGAAAGCACTTTTTATGGAGACCAAGAGATGTATTCTGTATATCATTCGAGTCCAATCCGGTCCAAACCTCATGGAAATTTTGGTGAGACCGATAACACCAGAGGATGACCAAAAGTGGCATGATTTACTACGAGAGGAATTTTCGGCAGACAGCAAGACTCGTGGAGCATACTCCGATGTCAATACTTTAACAGACATAAAATCCATGTCATACTGGGAACTGAAGAGGACTGCTCTAGAGAACATCATGAGACTTGAGCAACTTGGAAGAATCTCAAGACAAAATTTCTACCAGGACATCCTCAATGCTATCGCTGTTGATATTCGTACCAAAAGCAGACGTCGTGTTCAGAGACAGAGAGAATTGGAAGGTGTTAAGATGACGCTGGGAAATTTGGGCGAGAAGGCGGATTGGCTTGAGTCGCAGAGGAAGAGTTACGATAATTATATCGAACAAGCCATGATGACATTGCAGAAGAAAGGGTATGGCATTTACTCCATGTTGCTGATACGATACTAATAATTGATTAAACAGGAAAAAACGTTTCCTTATGCCTTTCTCCAAACAATACAACCACGAAAAGGAGCTTGAGCGTACTGGTCGTACATACAAATTCGGCTCTTTCAAATATTCCGCTCGAACTTTATCGGATAAAGGTGTATTGGTCGCTTGGAAAGGATACCCCGAACGTGAATGGGATAAGATCAATCTCACAATTTCATGTGATCAAGTTGGTGTATTCTCCATTGAGGGTAGCAAAGGCAGCATTGTCATTACTGGTGCAATGGCTCAAGTTCCTATGGACTCACTTCTTGCTGCACAATTCGCAAACCACCAGTATATGGATATGTTTGAGGGCGCGATGAGATTAAATGTTAATTTATTCTTGCATTTGTTGTACAGGAAGTTTTATAGGACCGAGTAGTGTGGATGGTCGAATACGGAGAGGGCCAGGTTTGCAAAGGAAGAAGTCATTTGCACATCGAGCATGGGGAGGAGATGGCAAAGGTGCATCTTATTCTAATGGGAAAATATCTCTGATTTTAGGCGCAAGTTATATCTTATGGCATGGAATCGGCGTCGCATGAAGTGATAAGCTGGGAGACTTGGAAAGTCCCGAGGTCGGCCAGGATTGGAATTATCGGACATGGTATTGTTTGTGTATGTACATATTCATTTTCTTCTTGAAGACGTGTGACGAAGTATGAAGCGAGAAGCGGGATGCGGAAAGCAGGGAAATGACTGCTATGAATATTGATTGTTAGTGATATCACGAGATCATATAAATATGAATATTATCCTACTACACTTACGGTTTGAACATCAAGCATCACTTGCTTGTTATTCTTTGTACACACAACTCAAGCTAACCAACATAGAAGTGATGACAATATGAAAAGCCCTTCTCAAATAGGAACGGTCAAGTGAATACTACCAAATCGCGACTTCTTGAATGGTACAAAACAGGCATGCTGTTTTCCAAACGGAAAGAGATGTCTTTGGAGGTTCACTTATAGCGATCCACAAGAATTACATCTTGAGACAAATGCATTCTCTCATCGGACAATCTGCGAAATTTCGTCTTCTTGGACAATAAAATTCCCTCTATACGGCGCCAGATTGGCTGCGAGAAACGACTGAATGTACCACCTTCTGACAAATCAGCGTCTTGTTTTTGAATCTTCAAAGAATACAGTCAATTAATTGCATCTCCACCAAACCACGACTTTGAGCGACGCACTACTGCAGGGCTCTTATTCAATGAAACTCAAGCTACCACTCTTGCCTTGTCTACTGCTTAACATCAACCAAGTCAACTCCATGCAACCTCGAAATGATCTCACAACAATCGCACCTTCAGTGCTTCAACAGAACTCCGGGTGTGCCTTAGTGAGCTCTACACTATTCAAGTGCGAATCGATCAGTCCCGGGTTTACCTCTCTCGTCCCATCAGCACAAGCACAATGCCTTTGTTATGATTCTTCCAAATGGATTCCGACAATTTTTGACAAAGCGGTGCAGACTTGCGCCGATTTTGCAAGCACAGCCGTGCCAAGCGCATACCCTGCATTTGTTAATTTGGAGGGATTTTGCGGTAATATAGGAAATATAATGACGACAATGGGGCCTGCTACTATCTCTCCCATCACAACTTTCGAATATTCAATTCCGACTTCGACAGTACATAGTGGGATACCAGCTTGTTATTCTGCTCTATCTCTGATACAATCTTGTGTTGGCCTGCTTCCAGGGTTTATGGCTTTGGGTCGTTCACAGCAGGCTTCATGCCTGTGTTACGCGAGTGTCACATCCTGGATCCCAAAGTCCTTTGATAATGCTATGGAGACTTGTTCACAATCTGTGCAAAGCGAAAGTGGGATTGCAGGGTTAGTCTCGACAGTTGACATGTTCAATGGTATTTGTGGAAGTATGGGAGACGTCTGGACAATGGAGGGACACGTTTCATCTACAGCCACCTCGCACCCTATAACGTCAGATGTGGGCTTGGCTCCCTCGACTTCCATAAGCTCCCCATCACCAGCCAGTATACCTGGATCTACCAGTTCGGTCATATCAACCATTGCTATTCGTTCCTCCACTCAGACCACGCGTTCAATTGTGAAAACAATCTCGGTCACAACATTAAGTAAATCAATGATCAGTACCGCTTCAATGCCTAGACCTGGAGCAATCGACACTAATCAAGACGGAAATCAAGAGCTGAAAGATGTTAGTGATCCGATGGTTATCTTGATTAGTTTTGCATGTGCAGCGTTGGTGCTTTTTTTATGCTAGTTCCTGCCTTGAGCAGGAAAGTGGCTATTGTATTGAGGCAAATGAGATCAGCGAGAACACCGAGAGGGATGATATAGATCATGGAGAGAGAGAAAGTATCTGGGGTTTGAATATCTGGAATTGGGGTTAGAAGTTGGCAGTTGGAAGTTGGGATGGGCACATGGTAAAAGCTAGAGAGCAGCCATTGGCGGATTCCGGATATGGTGTTTACTCGATGAGATGTGATTTTAGTATCGATTCATAGCTGAGAGAATGGATTGAGAAGTTTAAATGTAAACTCGGTCTGTTCTGTCATGATCTGGGCGTGAAATGAAATTTATCATGTGGAAAAGTGGTATCATACACGTCCATTAATCTCTACTTTATTTGGCAAGCCGGCACCGCGGCTTGGCCCCCATTCCCACTTTCTAACCTCCTGTGTGACGTTTAACTTCCATGGGAACTCGGACTAAGCCACACGTCACTCTTGACATCCATAGTTTCACTTATACTAGGGTGTAGAGGTGGTGATTCTCGTCCGTTGCTCGATATTACCGTCGTTGTGAATCCGACAATGGCGAGATCGGGCCTGAGATTTAGTTCGGTGTCGTACATTTTTGTTCGCCTTCGATTCATTCCATCCATCATGCGCATGTGAAGGCCTCCAGATGATCCGATTGATTTCTCCGACCAGTCCAGGAATGAGCGGACGAGAGGCTTGAGGGTCGCTAAGCAAGAGGCTATAAGTCCGACGGCTACTTCGACAATGGAGAGGATGATAACATCACTGGTAGGTGGTTAGTCGATGAAATTGTAAATGGAAAATGATGAGTTAGGGAGAACATACGATATTGAATAGAGATAATCGCTGGTATGCAAAAGATCGTTAATGTATGCGATTCTTGTGAGGGTACACACGCTAGCACTGATAGTCCGTCAGTATCTGTTGAAGCAACTTCCGCCGATTTGACAATGAACAACGTGGCTTACATGGAACCCAATGCTAAAGTCATTGCGACCGCTGCTTTTGTTCTTGTTGTGATTTGAAGATCCGCCACAATAAACGCCGGAATTATCCCCAGAGTAAGATCGGCCAAGACGTTCACGACTCCATGGCCATATGCCATAGCTGCTATCGTAGAGCCCTCTAAACAATGCCCATCAATTGCTCCCTCAAATCGCCTCCAGTAGAATGATATCGGTCTACATTGAAGTAACAAAAAGATAAAAAACCCCGTGGTGTACAACAGGAAGATTGTCATTGAGATATAGATGGTGTATATATGAACTGGCTTCACGGCGATACGGACGAGGTAAAGAGCGATGGATATCTTGATAGCAGCTATAGTAGGAGGGTATATGATTTCCGAATAACACCACCACTAAACAAAGATGTCAGAAAATTTAACCCTAGGACTTGGTAACGGGAAGCGTACTTTCAATCCGCGCAAGTAACGATCCATTGTCATGCTATCGATATGTTGTCCAAACCCCGAATTAATTCCCAACATGGTAAAAACAACTCCAGCGCACAAAAGAAACTATGTGATGTCAGTATACAGGTACCCTTCGAGACCCTACGTGATAGATATTACCAAGGAGCAAACTGCAATTGCATCATCAGCACCAAATGCCTTCAAAAACTTAGTTCGAACATAGCATCGTAAAGCAACCGCCACACACGCAATCCCAGAGAATAGCAATGTAATGATCAGAATTTCATCCTGTTTGTCTGAAGCTTCTGTCACCATCTCGGCCGGTTAAAATGTGCAAAGAAAAGTGAAGCAAAGATCAAAGGAATTCATAAGAAATAAAACAGTGACAGCCTAGTGATTCATTGGAAAAAGATTACAAAATCAGGACGATCGTCAAGAATGGGAGAGGATATCTTGCTTCTCCATTTGTTTATACTGTTGCGCACTACCGGCAGTGATAATGTGCTCCCCGAAGCTCTGTTTCCTGACATCTTGCGGGTATTCTTCGATATTGTATGGGGATAGAGCACAGATGGTCATTCCTTAATGATAACGTTGGTCCAGGTTTTGATATAAAAAGAAGTGATGGTCCCGCTATTTTCATCAGTCACAATCATTCTACGCATTTTAACCCTGAATTCTAGATCAATGCTTCTTCTTGTTGACTCCCCTCATTCTATACCTAACGCTCAGGATTAGAAAAAGAAAGAGATTTGAACATACCAAGTACCTTGATGTGGCTGAATAAGGTCTCTATGTGGGCCTCTTTATATTTCTAGTGAGGTAAAGCAGGCCAATCCATTCAATTTGACCCACCGTCAAGCCGCTGAGCGTTAAGGTATCCACATGGACGTCCACATGAAGGTATCCATACTCCGTACTTAGTAGACGTAGCACTGGTCTCAGAGTGAGACGACAAGACTGATTGACCTTGGATTTTCGAAATCCATAGAACTCCATTGGAAAAAGTGGTTTGAGCAAGATCGGATCGGAGTAGTAACCTTAGCTTAAATGCCGATTAAGATTGGACAGTCATCTATAGTACTAGGCATAAAGTTTACGCGAAAAACATCAAAACGCGAAAAAGCGTGTAACTTTTTATCAACACTCCTATTTAAATTATTAATTATATCACAATTACAAATTATATTAGATTTAATTGATAATAATATTAAAAGAAAGAAGCGATTAGATCCTTATATAAAGGGGAAAATCATTGGAATATAATATAGTGATATACAGTCTACTCATATTATAATAGCTCTAAATATCCTCGATGTAATAATTCACACTATCTTATTAAAAGAGTTATTACAAAAAAACAAAAAGATTAATTTATATATAAATCAATTATATAAATATATAGAATGAAATATATATAGAATTATATATTATATATAACTTTTTTTAAAATCTATATATATAAAGCTTTATTAAACTCTTTTTTATAAATTCTATAATCAAATTATATACTCTATTCTAAAGCTCTCTAGAATTATAAATTGGATTTGCAAAAAGTATCTTTACTTCATTTTAGAAATTATCAAATTGTAATTCGAATAGTATATACTACAAAAGTATTAAATTTTAGAGATTTTATAAAATATATATAAAGTAATAAATATTTAATAAAACAAAGAAAAGAAAAAAATAGAGAATAAGCTTTTTATATTACAATAAAAAGATTTTCTCTATAATATATTATAATATATAAAAAATCAAAGAATATATTAGTAATAATATAGGGAAATTTTTAATATAAAAATAAAACTATTAGAAAATCTAGTTTATATATATTAAATAAAAACTTCGAATTAAAGAAAAATGAATATTTAGCTAACTCCTATCTTATTATATTCAAATACTAAATACTCTTTTATTAAAAATCTAAGCTAATTTTTATATAAAATAATACTTCTATTTATAAAGCTTAAAGAATCCTTAATTAATTTAAAAATAACATTATACTAATTATTAATTAATTATTCTACTTTTCTAATCTAAATCCCATAGAATATATATAATTTTATCTCAAAAAATTATATTTGAAAAGTGTTGGTTCGAGAAGGATACGGAAGACGTAGCACCCACGTATTCGTAGGTCCTGTATATCTAATTGTATTCTATCTAAAGAGCTAGCTAAATAGGAAAGTAGTAGGCCTTATATAGGCACTACTGAAAGAGCTAGTCTCTTTCGCATTCGCTTAATCCCTTTGATACAGTAGTCATTGTATTGAAGTCATTCCTTTGAAGTAAATACTCTTATTCACACAAAAAGTATCTAGAGATTGAAGTTATAGAAAATAAAGAGAATACTTCATAAATATTAGAAAAAGTATTAATAAAAACTTGGAATCTTATTTCTAATAAAATATTTTTAAAATATTTAAGGAATATAGAAAATAGAAAGGATACTATTATTGAAATTAAGGAATAATATACTAGATATTAAATAATATAGTTTTTTAGGAGATTATAAAGCTATTCAATTTATATTCAATATCATAATTTAGAATTATTATATTATATTATTAATTTATTATAATTATTTTAAATAATAGGTTGTGTTGTTGAATCTCAAATCACGCGAACTTTATTGAGATTACTGTAGCTCTCTTGATGCTGCACCGCCTGTTCATAAGTAGGCCTGAAGACCCTGAAGTTTATTTGAACATTTAAACCATACCGCCTTATATATAATTTGCACAGGGTAAAACAATACGAACTTACGAAGTGATAGATATCGGATTAATACCGGCGAGTATGTTATCGGAGAAGAAAACATTCTCCTGAACCCTGTGTTACCCCTGTGTTCAAATAATTAATGATACCTTGGCTAACTTTGCCATGGAAAAGGAGGAAATGAAGTTCGAGATACCATTCTTCTAAAGATGTGGAAGAGACAATGGCAGAGTCAATGGACATCTTTTATTTTTCAAGCCCAAGATATCGTGATCGAGAATACTCATGACGACCTTCATTTTTCATCAGATTGATTGGTTCCGGCAATCCATTCGCGATATAGAACAGATGGAAAACGGGATGCGAAAGAGCCGCGTAATGTTCAATGAAATTTTTGATGAATGAAATGAATCGACTCGTGGAGTTGTGAAGTGTTTGCATTGACATGGATGGCATAGATCTAGGAGTGATCCCTCCTGAGAACCACAACCTGTCAGATCAAAGATGCCAAAAATATAAACTATCGTTTTAACGGTGCATCGAGGGATCAATCTTGATTCTTCTCCAAGATGCCAAGATGCTGGAACGATGATGAGCATCGAATTTCCCCAGTATGGATAATCAATACTAGGGAAAGTTTCAGCCTTTGTTCGTCCCGCTCATCACTCACAAACCATACTGCTCCAATATCCCACGCGAGCCAGAGTAGATGAATCAATATGAATGAATTTCCCAATGTAAGTTTCTTGGTTTAATCATGAAGATCTCTCACAACTGCCGGAAACTATAAGACGAGGTTTGCAGTACTTCATATATATTTTGGCAATCATTACGCCAGGGACAATGTAAGAGGATATCCCAGAACAATCAAGAAATGATATCTTTTGTTGATTACGGCCGTGCGAGGGCTGGTACTCAACTACCTCATATACGAGGTCATGTAATTCCTTACTAGTAGAAATGAACCCTAGATCTACTTGAGATGAATTGCAAATGATGGGAAATCCAAAGGGCACCCGAATGGTTTTTGCTTTGATGTCGTTTACTCATACCGCTAAAGCATCCGAAAGAAGGGACGAACTACAGTACTAGGGCACAGCTGTTCGTCGGTTTCAAAAACTACACCAAAAACAGGCAAAACTTAAATAATCAATCTATATATTTTATAGTATTATATTATAATTTATTTAATAAATTTTATATCAATCAATTGAAATTTCAATTGAAATTTATGAAAAATAAAATCAATCATTTTTAGAAATTTTATTGATTTTAAAATCTGGATTAAAAATTGATACAAATGAAATTTCTTAAACATTCCAAATTTTACTAATAAAATAAGCGAAAATCAAGAACTTTTATTTTGAATTGATTTAATCTTATAATTGATAAAAACTTAATATTTCTGAATAGAAGAAATTATTAGTTTTGAATACTTTAATATCAAATGAAACTATTTTCGAAATTTTAATTGATTTTAATGATTTTAGATATTTTTGTTTAAAGATTGAAAATAGGGCAAAATGCCTGTTTTTGGTGTGGTTTTTAGAACTGACGAACAGCTGTGCACGGTTACTGTAACTTGACAAGGACGTAGCTTCCGTTGTAACTGAAGAAGATCACCTTGGGGCACGTGAGGAGCCACTCTATCTTCATATCCTTTTGGGTGGCAGGACTATCATTCTTTTGACATATGTTTCAGTTTGAGGGGTGCGCGATCGGAACGAGCCGCTCAAAGAAGTAAGAACGAGACTCATTTCTCAGGGTGGAGAAGGGATCGTATGACATTGATGAATTAAAGTTGAGTTACGGCAAGCATGAGGATATTTGAACTCCAATGATAGCTGCCGACATCCATCATTCGGAATATGGGAGTAGACAGTGACGTACGCTAAGCCAGTTGATAGATGGGATAAAGCAGTATACAAATTAAAGCAAGGAGGGATATATAAGGAAACGAGCAGCTGCCAAAAAGGGCAAATATGAGTACGAGGGAATCCGGAGCCCCTTTGAATATGTCTGAATTGTGAGTTAGGAACACTGAGAGACCACAAACTCAACCCAGGTAGTCGTCGAGACTCGAGAGTACCTAGTAGTGTAAGTGTTGTCGACATTCTAGATGCTTTCAGGGGAAGAAACATTTATTAGAGAGACAGAAAGTGCCACATATGGATGTGTGTACAGTGGTTATATGGATAAGTGATGTAAAACCCACTTTTACTAAAAACTTGCTGTTTTTATATATTCTATTGCTGCTTTAAGCAATTCAAATATATATTAAGCTATCTCCTCAAATTTCGATTTTCAAGTTCTCTTTTATTTGTGAAGGCTTATAAAGCTTTCAAAGATTTTAAAGGTTTTGATAGATTATTTAATAGAATTATTGAGGAATAAACCTATTTTAATATATTAGTATACTGAAATCTATATTTACAATACTTTGGTATATTAAAGTTTATTATATTAATTTTCAAAAAGCATGATATTTTGATTGATTAAAGCCTTTGTATATAGGGAAAAGCACGGCCGCTTTTTGGTGTGTTTTACAATACTTACTGTTATACTTTTAATCACGTGTATATACTAAATTAGTCTAGCTCAGATTAGCTAAGCTAGTGTCAATATCTTGGCCCTTAGCATTATTCTAATTAACTATCTTTTATTTCATATATAAACCTTACAAATAATAGTAAGTTCTATTTTGGGTATTAAAACAGATTATTAGCTATCATACCAAATTGTTTTTTTTATTATATTATATATTCTATAATCAAATCTTTTATTATACTTCTTTTAAGTTGTAGAAAAACATTTCATTTATTATATCTAAATATTATTATAAATCTAAATATATTTTAATAGAATATTATATTTTTGAATAATAATACAAAATAGTTTTATTATCAAATTAAGAGTTTAATTTGATATAACTTTTCAAGAGATTATATCAAAAACGAAATTATTTAATTCTTTTTTTATTAAAT